GAAGGAAGGGAGGGAGGGAGGGAGGGAGGGAGCGGCCCCCGCCCCCCGCGCACGCCGCCCCCTCCCGCGCGGTCACATGGGGAGAGCCCGCGCGCGCTCCGCCGCCCGCCCACGCGCGGCCGCCGCGTGACGCAGCGCTCGCGGGGGCGGCACCGGCGGCGGCAGCGCCCCCCAGCGGCCGGACCGCACCGGGGCCGCGACCGCGACCCTTCCCCCGCACCGCCTCCGCCCCCGCCCGCCGCTCCCGATCCCGCAATGGAAAAACACCCGCGAACCGGACCCGGGACCCTCCCGGTGCGGACACACCGCCCCGGGGCCGGCCGAGGGGCACAGAGCGCCGGCCCGGCGTGCCGAACGCAAAACCGGCGCGAAAGTGCCGAGTAGCGACCCGAGCGAGGAGAAATGAGAGCGTGTGTTTGTTTTGTTGATGGGGGATTGGTTAAACTACGAGTTTTTAAGTAAGTCATGTTTCAGTGATAAATTAAGTAATAAGGCATAAATTAAGTAACTCATATTTAGTGCAGATAACAATAGAAGAAAGCATTTAATGGGTGGGAATAAAGAGCGAGTGAGGAAAACAAGCCTCAATAAAATATGCTTGTTTTATAGGCAACGTCCAGCTCTTGCCTAGAGCTGGGAATACCTCTCACACAGGGTTTCCTTTCCTTTTTCCTTGCGTTCTAATCCATACCTTGGCTCCGTTGCACCTCATGGCTGTCTGAGCAGGGACAGACSAGGCAGGAAGCAGAGTCATGACCTGACTCTTAGGTAAACAGCTCCAAACAAAATCGAGTTTCTCCTTCAGTTTTCCCAATAKAAGGCTGAGGCTTGTAGTATCTGTGCCAAATCACTGTCACCAAAACTACATAAAAATATCAAAAAATTATTGCATGCTCTAGCAGCAAAGTTTTAAAAAGTTTTCTGAGGATGCAGGACTGCATTCTGGAGCTAGGGAAATGCAAGCGCCTTTTTTTTTCATGCCCTTTTTATTTTGTAACTCTAAAAACTTGCGTTCCTGCACAGGTATTTCCCTGTTTGCTGGTTATTTGTGAGCCTGGATTGCGTTAGGGCTGCTGGCAATGGGGCCAATCATTAAAATTAAAATTAAAGGGTGCTGGCGGGTGKCACACAGGGCCCCTCTGTGCATCCCCGGCCACTCTGCCCACGCAGGCACRGCAGGGACGGGTGGGTGGCTGGYGGGAGCTCTGTCTGCATTGCACACYCTGACCCAGACYGGGCATGYTGGCAAGTCYRTGCCCCAAACCAGCRTTTGCCCAATCCTAAAATCACCCCGCAGGTGAAGCTGCTGCTGACGGCACAGGAGGGATGCTGCCCCAGGAAAATTACCCGGAGAAACGGGCAGCACCTGCAACTGGAGCCCCTCTGCAAAGCAGAGTGTCGGTCGGCCCCGCTTTTCCCTGAAAATGGAGTGACTGGGACTGTCTCCTGCTCTTTGGGGTGTGATCCRGTATCCCAACAGAGCAGATGAGGAGGCAGAGGCAGCATTTCTCCCTGGCATGCTGTGGTTCCCATGAGAAAACTCCATTGCACATTGCCCAGCAAAACCACAAAAATGTTCACAGCACTGCCTCCTCTCCACCCACTCAAAATGTTTTTGCATACGCTCTAGGCACTACAGTCATGGTAATTAAAGCTGTAAAATATTATTAGTATCACACGTCCATAGACTTTTCGTCCTAAATGCTTTATACACCGTGCAACAGAAATTCAGCCCCTCCTATGGAAAAAAAAAAAAAGCAGCAGGAACAATGTATGTCAAGGTGGGAAGTCAAATTTTCACCAGTGGTGCCTGACACAAATCCCTTCTCCCGCAAGAAGCTCCCAGGACATCAGTGAAGTCCACCCAGGGTGATGCTGTGCTGGGATCAGGCAGGGATCCTGCATGCCTGKGTATCCTAAGGAATGAGAGACTAACAACACTGGTCTGGGAGCGTTTGAATGGATTTGTGGAGTTTCTCACACAATTTAGCTGTGCTTGCAGARGCTGTTGGTAAGCGAGGTGTAACTCAGCCCTGCCCTGGGCTACTGAAAATATCAGGGGAAGTAAAAGAAAGGGCTGAGTAGACTGTAGTCCCTGCTGTAGTGTGTCCTTAGGAATAGCATATCTGCTCCAGTCTGGCATCTCACTCTGGGGAAGAGGAATAGGACAAACGTGCTCTGMTGTCTGCCTTCACCAGTCGATCTGAGAATGCTGGGCAGAAAGCCAGAGGCAGCCAGCAAATGAGATTTCCCCAGCAAAAACCRGGGAAGTGTTTTTAAAGTGTTTTTTAGCACTGTCCTATCATTAACATTCAAACTCTTTTCCTGTCCACGTACTGCTTTGCTTACATCCCACAGAGGACACACAGGCTCTGAGTCTGCTCCCTCTCCAACATGTCCTCACATCTGAGGGTAAAAGTATCCTTCAGATGTTGCCCTGCTCAAATGGGAAGGGAGAAATGGATAGAGTTCTGTTAGTTTTATGGATGGTTTATACTCTTATAGTTTGATATTTAAATGGTTGGAGTATACTGAGAGTAGGTAGTTGCATGCAAAAAATCGTTACACGAAATGAATAAAACACTAAAATGATGAAGGTGGCAGAACTTCAGCTGAGAAATGCACCTCTATTTCAGATCCCTWTCCTTCCTAAAATTATTATAAGCTTTAAGGCCCTTACCTAGTGTGAACTATCTAGTCTGATTTTCATGGCAGAGATGTGTTGTGCCTCTAAGGAGCCAGAAGCACCTCTGTCCTTCCCCGCCCAGCGCACAGACCTCGCTGGTATGGCCTGACACTGATGTTCTGTCTGATGAAAAGAAAAAGAGATTGGAATCACACATGGCATAGGGACACTTGCATAATACACAGAAGTCTGCAGATGATCAGTTCTTTATTTCCTCAGACTCCCCAGATTGTGAGATTGATGAGGAATCTGAGTAGGGTACGAGTGCTACGGAATGAAAGAGAAAAAAAAAGAAAAATCATCAGTGAGCAATTATATTCAAGGAGACAAGACAGTAAGTCAGACCCAGAGGCAGCTCGAAGGCTGCCAACACAGCAGCTGGTATTGCAGAACATCTCTGTGGTCGGTCCCCAAGCTCCCTGAGTGCCCCTGGAGGAGCAGAGGGTGCTGGAGCCGAGGAGCAGAGTGCAGGGGCGTAGGTGCAACCTCGCCCCAGTTGGCCTCCTTGTAGCAGGTCACAGCTGCTGGCTGGGGCACAGCACACACAAGTACTGCTGGAAATGCATGTTGGAACATATTTCTCAGGTAGGCTATTAATACCTGTGAAGAAAACACTTGAATTGTTTGCTGTTAATAGAGAAAAAGTGCATCGCATAAAAGACARATTTAATGAGTGGTCACTGAGGAGGCTGCAGGTCTAGTGGCTGTACCACGTAGCTGGGGACAGAGACAGCTGCATTTCTTTTCCAGCTCTCCTTTGCCATCATTGGACAAGTTATTTCACCTTGCAGCACCTCAGTTTCCCCATCTGGATATTAGGATAATAATTTGACTTCTTCCTCRGTGAAGCAATGCTAGATGTGCTGATGAAGAGGGTCAGAGGCGAGCATTATTATTTATCATCATAAATATTCATACCATTATGCAATGGGCAGGACTTGCTGAACAGACAGCAGCCCTTGCTAGAGATCAGAAGGTTTACAGCCTCCAATRCACTACACCTATAAATTCACCCAATGCAGCAAAGAACAAATATGGAGCTGGATATATTTTTGGCAGCTACAGCACGTGACTCAATTCATGGTTCGGAAAAGAGTTTTGAAGAACAGTTTGCATGCTTGGAGCATATAAATCAGAAATTRGCATCAGACTAAAAGCAGAGTACCCCAGACACATAAAAGGGCTGTGCAGGATCAGCGGAGCAGAGCTTCCAGGAAGAAAGAAAAAAAGTATTTAAACCTGGCAGGATGATGAAAACCACGCGAATACAGTCAGAGCTGAGTAGCAGAGGAAATTATCTCATCAACATGGCAAGTGATAACTTTCTATTGATTTTCAAATGAATAGATTTTATGGCCAGGAGCAATTGTTTAAAATAGTAAATCATCATAATCTCACCTCTTGTACCCTGGAGATTAAAGACTTTCACCTAGTCATTTGAATTGCATTAATCCTATGTAAATAAAACAGTGCACTAATTATCATCAGTTGGAGGATGCAAATTCATCACAAAGACCTCTGTGAGCACGCAGTTAATAAGAAAAGACTTTGCTAAAACTTTGCATTTTCATCAAAACAGGCACAAACCTGGAAATAACACCATTTTAGGGTTGTGCCTGTGTGGCATTTTGGTTGTGCCCATTTCAGTCGATTGGGAAACACKGRTGCTGCTGCTGTCCTCCCTSGAGGCACGGATCCCAGTGCTTCCAYTGGAGGCAGGGAAGGGCTGCACGATGGGCAGCTCATGGTCACGCTGGCTCTGCTTGTGTGGCCACCACGCAGCCTCACGCCGTTTCTTGAGAGGGCCAGAAGGCACATGCTGTACTTTGGAGGCACCTGAGCACTTGGGAAGCGGAGCYGGGAAATGTGCTGAAACAGGCAGCTCCGGAATTGAACATCTTCACAGGTTCAGCCTGTGTCTGACAMAGAGCTTCATCTGAAAAGCACAGGGAGGAGAAGGAGGAACGACTGCTGAGAAGTCAGAATATACTGTTTCAATGCTTTCAAAATAGCAGGACTGAACTTTTTGCTTCAAAACAACCTGTTTCTGATAAAAAGCCCTCCAAAACAATAAAAACAATATAAAAAAAAATCAGAAAAAAATTGCTTTTGAGAGCTCTGCATCTGAGCACTGTGGGTGATGATGGGATCATCATTTTGGCTCCAACTCACTGCTTTGGTCAAACAAAAATTACAGGCAGAAACACAGCGCTTTGTGACAGTTTGACTTCTCTGCCTTTCAGCCATTAACTCAAAAAGGCAATTATTTGCCCAATCCTAATGAAGATCAAGTGGGAGGAAAAAAAAAAAAGAGAAAACATAATGCCTGTGAGCATACCTAGTGGTAGTTTTGCCAGGGTGAGGCTTATATGAGACCTCTAAGAAGCAACCAGAGAGCATGAAAGGACTCATGACCCTCCCCATGTGATTACCATGCTGCTGACTGCCACCCTCACTCTCCAGCCCCATCCCACATCCCAAATGAAGCAATCCAGCCACCACAACACAAGCAAACAAGGCGCCAAAACCCCAAAACTCAGATGTGCAATGAGGGGGGAGYATAAAGCCACCCCCTGAGCCCCCGGGTATTGCCGAGGCATCGCTCAGAACTCTCCCTCAGGGCTAAACTGGTTTATTGTTTAATTCTTGGTCTGTACAACCAGCGAGAGCCGGCACAGGAGGGGTTGCCAGGAGCCAGCAGCTCCACAKCCAGGCACACAGATCCATCCCATCAGCAGCCCAAGGAGGGTGGCACTTTGGGACTTTCATCTTTTAATCTGGCTCTCTCCTGGTGCTGGCAGGACTGGAGCACACAGGGGTGGGTGAACCCTCCAGTKCCTCCCCCGTGCTYRYTGCACCCCAYGCRGTGGAGCCACGTTTAGAACAAGAAAGGAAAAGCAGGACTGTGAGGTGGCAATGGGCCAAGAGGCATCACCACCCCAGGGAAAGGGATTTCAGCACGCAGGGTGACATGGCAGCCCRATTTTCCTGAAGTTGAGGAAAGTCAAGGCCAGCAAACAGGTCTCCATTACGTGAAGGTGGAGACCCAAGCACCAGACAATAACTAAAAAATTGTTACCTGGAAATAAAAATACCTAAGTGCAAGTGGGGRTGTGTGCTTGCAGTTGAGAGCAGGTAACTGTCAGTGCCCTCTGAAATTCCTCCCCCCACTCCCAGAACAACATTCCAAACTCCTCACAGCCTGGCGTGTGCKTGCTCTGCAGCCTGGTACAACCCTTTCACCACTGACATTCAGAGCCAGAGGGCAAAATCTGGATCTTGCAGGGGTCAGGAAGTCATTCACTACTATTTTGCTTTGGTTAAGCAGACATCTGAATCCATGCTCAATGCTTTTGAAAAAGTAATCTGGCTTCCAAATATGCCACGCACGTGTGTATACAGACCCAAGTACCTAAATGTTAGATGCATAAATTTAAATACTCTGTACCTTGGTTTATCCACCTCTCACCAGTGGCTGAGGGTTGCTCACATCACAGCATTTTAGGAAGCCAAACACTGACAAAGAAGCCTGAAGTGTACAGGTGAAAGCCTGCAGCAGAGGGGAGTGATGACTACCCTCCCTTTCCGAGTGAGGAGAAGGCTTGTGCGCCTTGCAGCTCCTCTCTTGGCAGTGATCCGTGTGTAGGCAGTGGTCATAATCAGGAAGTGCCTCCTCCAATTTACAGCTGGTGGTACCACCTGTGCCTCTCCAATTCCAGCCAAAACAACCACCTCCTCAAACCCACTTGTAAGGAAGGGCAGAGGATCCAGCTATGACAACTCAGAGGGAAAAGCAAGACTYGGGTTTGAGCGCTGACATTTTCCCTGGATGTGTACCACTGCTTACCAGWGTTTTCTTTCTCCTTGTAACAAACAATTACAGTGCCTGCTGAGAGAAGATGATCCCACCATGCCATGACAGCAAGCAGCTGCTAAGTGATGGGGCAGACGTGGGACAACAAGAAAACGGGAAGATATTCAAATTTTGCTGGGTCAGTGAGGGACTGACGTACGTGCCTGCATGGCAGCTGGAATGGAAGAAAGTGGAGTCATTACTCATCACTTCAAGTCTGTCAAGGGTTTACTTTCTGGAAGAAAAACAGTGGGTTAGTGACTGCTGGGGAGGCAGGGAACATTTCTGTACAACTGAGGCATAGCTGTGCATGGGAGYATGTCTGCACACATGCCTCATTGGTATTATCCCTTTGTCTCCTGTGCTGGTTTTTCACTGCTAGGTCCCCTCTGGCCTTCCACCCCATCATGGATGAAGCCATCTCCCTACCAGTGCATCTCTAGAACYAGTTCTGGATTAGCAGTTGCTGCTTTAATCCACTCCAGACCTCAAAATGCAGGTCTTTTRCTTTGGAAACTGGAAACCTGAGGAGATTTTTAATAATAGAAACTTGTAGGAATTACACCTCACCGGTCAGCCAAAACTAATAGCAGAAAGGGAAGTCTTGCTGTTCCCATCAATGGAACTAACAGCAGGGCTTCCCAGACTTCCATGGATGAGATAGGCTGGACAAAAAGAGTGGAGACCATACTTTATGAGCTGCCATTCATTCTGGGGCCCTTTTTTTTGTAAATATGTGTCCCTTGTGTGGAATATACTGTGTTCCCACTCTGGTTGGGCTCTCTGAAGTGCACAGGGCCAAGAGGCACTTATTTTCAGATTTACTAAATTCCTGCATTTCCAGTTAATCTGAAGCTGTGGGTGCCAAAACCTCAAGAGAATCACTTACCCTCATTGCAAAGATCATCTCAGCCTTTCTGATGCCACTGGAAAAGTAATAACCTTTTGAGGAGTCTTAAGGGCACTCAAAAAAATCTCTATAGAAAAAGAAAAAGAAGACCAGAATGAAAGCCAACAGCTTCTGACATCAGATAAAACACTTCCTTTCAATGTTTTCTCCTTCTGATTAGCGATTTCTTTTCATTTACATCCCATAGCCTCAAAAAGTTATTTTTGAATGACCTGTTGGCTGCAGTTTTCCTGAGGAGGCCCAAGCATCTACTCTTCTTTGAGAAAGCAGCCTGCTGCTGCCTGGTCCTACAATTGCTTCCATATGAACCTAAGGCAGGCAGGTTCTCATCTTCCATTTAGGCATTTAGGTTTGTTTTTTGGTTGTTTTTTTAAATGGATGATGAAAGCAGAAACAACTGAGCCATACAGCTCCCTGAAGCTTCTGATGCTCAGCTTCCCCAGTGCAGTGCCATGGTGACAACACCAGCGCAGGGAACATCCACTGCACAATAACAAAGAAATATGTACTTCTCATTTCAGAGAAAGTGCTCTTCACATGGCAGAACATCTGTCCAAAGCTACAGAACAGGCAGTTTGCTACCTTTTAAGGCACAATGCCTACAAGTCACTCTCCTCGGAAAAAGGGGGATGTTATTTTTTCTGCTCAGCTCTGTGTCTGTTCATCAAAATCCCTGTATGGGCCATGAATTAAAAACTTGATATCCTCATGGGCSCCTTCCAGCTCATTCTGTGATGCTGTAGCTGATGCCCCCTACCTGTCCCTGCTGAATTCACACATTCACTCCCRATCTCCTAAAACTGGGGCTGTCTTGTCACTGGGGACCAGCACCATAGGGTTCTGACTCATGCTTGGGGTATCTTGATGCTACTGACACATAAACARTAAATATTCTTCCTCTAATCCACCAAGGCATGTGTGATCACCTCAGATCCTTGCATCAAAGCAACACCTTCTGGGACAGCAGGAAGCACACAACACACATCACAAGCTCCAACAGCTGTCACCAGTCCCACCAGTGGCCACATCCACGGGATCTAAACTGAGGAGTACCACTGTTTTTTTTCCTCTAGCTGGTCTCTTGAGATAGAGCAGTAAATTTTGCCTTTTCCTGACATACAGCCTAGGTGGTGTTGCCTCAGAGAGACCAGTGACAGCTGGATGAAAGGTAACAAAGACTAGCCTTGTGATGTGTCAGAAGGTGACTGCTGGCCAACACAGACACACAAGACCTGGGCTTTAGCAACAAACAGGCAAAAGCTGAGCCTGCAGCTTTGCTTTCCTCTGTGCAAGTTTGACATTGCCGAGAAAGGTCACGTACAAAGGAAAATACACTTTGAAATGGACACAGCTGAAACACACACAGAACAGAATCTCTTCCAAAGGATTTTCTAAGAAAACAAAGCAGAAAAGGCGTTGTCACCTCTGAGTATAGTGTGGATGGCTGCAAGGTTGACTCCAATAATCGCTGTATAGACCTTTTCCTTTTCAAAATTCACTGCCAGCTTTTCAAAGGCAGGACAACACAGGATCTTGTTAAGATGCTGTTCCATTCCAAGGTGATGAATACTATCAGGGCTGGGAACTTTATCTCTTACCACCTGACATTTCCTGTAGGGGAATTTGCTTCTGGCCAAACTTTGACATGGAAAATTTCAATCCAAATAATTAGGTTGAGTTACCTTGAGTTGACRCATCTTCATACCTGTTTTGAGAAGGCTTGTATCACCATCCTTGCTATCAAAGACATTAAAATCTCTCACTAGGCCCACTACCTGCAGGAGCAGGGGTAAGTCCCTGAAACAGAGCCAGAGTTCTTACATGATAAGGTGTTTTTGAAAACAGATTTAATTTTTTTGTGGAATGAGCTATTTTGYTTGTTCTGCAAGCCTTTTCTACACTGAGACTTATTTTTAGCATTGGCAAGACCTAACTCATTAACACACACAAAAGACTTTGCAATTAATTGGTATCACAGTTTGTTACAATGTGKGGAATTTTGCAACCTTCTGAAAGTAGGACAGGTTTAATTTTACCCATTTCAAGGTTGTTACTGACCCTTCACTTAGGCTGCTGAAAGGAAGATCAGATGGCAGATCCTACCGTGATGGGAATAAGGAAGAAGYTGAATGCCCAAAGGTTGCTGCTGCCTTTCTCTTTTCCATTGTATTTTCTCCAGTGGGAACTGTTAAGAAAGAGGATGAAATGACTGTGAGAAAGGAAAAAATGTGTGAAAACGTGAACCTGACRAAAGTAGCAATGAGAGGTCATTAGAAATCTCTTGAACAGCAAGAATGTTTCAGGTTTGTTGGGAAGCAGAATTATTCATCTCTGTGACACGTGCAGAGTCGCTGAACTACMCTGCTTTCCCTCAGCTAAACACCAGTTTAATCATACAGATTTCAATCATGTAAGCAATTRAAAATAATTGTTTCCCCTCAGTTGTTTTTTTCCCCACAAATTACTGAAAAAATGGCACATTTCTTCTCTTATTTAAATTTACTTTATTTGTGCCAAAATCAATTTCTGACCTCTGCTACGTGCTCCAGAAACCAGTGACTGAAATAGAAAGTGAGACTTTCCCTCTGATTAAATGCTTTTATGGTTTATGGTCACACAAAACCCACTGCCTAGTGCTTTCCTGCAATTCCTTCTCGGCCTTTAGAAATTCCTGATCGACAAGGCACACATCCGAGAAACCTCACCACAGCATTTCAGGGAAAAGAAACTAAAAGGAGAAGGATCTCAGAAGCGACAGCGGTGTAAGAAATAAATATAGGGAAAAAAAGTTGGAAGGCCAGCCTAGCACTGACCCACAGATGCCAGCAGTAGTTCCAGGCAGGATTTAGTCTAGTAATAAAAGCAGCTGCKGGGTACAGGTATCCTAACATGACAGAAGTGGCAGCTCTATAAATACGGTGTCACCTTCTACCCGCCTGCTCCGGGCATGGAGCAGGTTCTGTGGGATCACAAATGGRCAGTTTTGTCAGAACAAGACTTGGGAGCAGATGAAAGCTTGGGTCCACCATCCCCCAACATACCTGCTGGAGAAGCTGAGCTGGTACAGGGTGGGGAAATTAACTGTGCTAGATAAAGGAGTGGTTTTAAAATCTCCTTTTGCCTGGAGCGGTGAAGAAACYGAGAGAAGGAATAGCAGCTCTGCAAGGGATACAGCTGCATGCCACTCCTTTTTGAGGGTGAGTTGTGATAYTCTGCTCTTGCCTAAAATTCTTCCCCAAGGAATTGGAAGCTGGAGGAAAATTAGGGGGTTTTATTTATTTATTTTCACCAACCCATTGGTGAAATTTCAGCATTCTTTATCTATGATCTAATAGCTCTTCTAGCATTTGTAACTTCTGTGATTTCAACCAGAGGAAAAATGTGATAGGATTTTGCATGACTCACGGGTCTTGTGAAATGCTTTAAAACAGCTCATCTTTCAAGATTTTTAGCCTGATTGAAGCAGAGTTAAAACCCAAATTCTGTAAATGGTCTGGACACTGAGTTTCTGTAAAGGATACTGTTTTTTAAAGGTGATTTTCTTCCTAATATACACACACTATTCTGGAAAATTTGGCAAATATCTACCCGATTAAGCTCACAAAGGTGTGTTTCTACATTCTTGGGTACATTCTTACATACCTACCCAGAGCTTCAGGCTTTTATCTTTTTTTTTTTCCACTTCTTTAAAATCAAGGCCAAATTTTCAATTGGCAAAGTAGATCTGCAGATTGGGGTTTGCTAAGCCAATGGGAACTATTACCTGCAGCTTGCATACAGCTACCCTGCTCTCAGCCCTGCTGCCACTCTCATTTTCTGGGGCCAGACTCTCCATGGTGTGAATCCACCACCAGAAACCTGATTGCCAGAGATCACTCAGTTTTGTTTTCAGTGAGCAGCTGCCATATGGGCTTCCCTTTTCTGTTTCCACTGAGCTCTGATGTGCCTGCATCCCTTCTCCTCATTAGACCTCCTTGCTYGCTCACCTCATCAGAGCTCCTGACACACAGGCAGGGCATTGCCTGGAGCTCCTTAGTGAGAAGCAAAGCAYAGCTGCAAGCTCCTCGTGCCTTCCCATCTGCATTTTTGTGGCACAGCAGCAATGCTCTGTGCATCACAGGCACCGAGCCTGACTGTTGTTCCCTTCCAGAACCCACTACACTCTCCCAAGCTGTGTGTCCTCTACTTGGATCTTTCCATCCATCTCTTTGGTCACGAGGACACGAGCTTTGAGCTTTCTAATTTTCAAATGCCYGCATTGTTCACTGCATTGCTGACCTCAGCCAAGGGCTCAGCAGCTTTTCCTGGGACACAGAGGCASTGTGGGGAGGGATGGACTCAGGAAGCAGCAAGAGAGAGCAGAAGCATGTCCCTGAAAGTTGTCCTTCAGTGCAATTTTGAAAAAGGAAAGCTGTGGCCATCTGAAAACCCTGACCTTTCCCACAGTTGTGCTGCTGTTCCAAGTAACTCCTCTTACAAGGCCTACAAATAACAGCAATTATTAGTACTAATAATAATAAATTAAGGAAGAGATTTGGGGTTCTGTCATTCAGCAGGGAGTGAAACATATCACAACYGTCTCTTTTAGAAGTGCTGGGAAAACTTGTCACAGTTAAGGATTCAAGCACTAGGCAGATGTGGCATTTAATATTTGAACTGCTGTCAGACAGGAAATTGCACTTTTAGTTGCATTGGTATCCAAGTTAATAATAATTTTTTTTTTTTAAAGAAATAGAGAAAAAGATAAGGCAGATCTGCCAGTGAGCACTGTGTGCTGTAGCCCCTGGGTGGCTCCTGCAGCACAGCATCCCTTTGGAACCAGCCCAAAGGGCTTCACATGGGCCTTCCATACAACTGCATCAAACACACTGCAAGTTTCCAGGCCACACCATAAACCAGAGAAAATCTCAGACACTTTCCAAACCAAATCAGTCATCTCTTCTTTTATTTCCCCGAAACTCTTGTCTCTGCTATGCCTTGCTGTGTTTGCCTCAGCTTTTCAATGCTGGAAAGGCTGTGGCACAACAGTAGCATTCTGTGTGGACTGAGCTCTGGCAGACTGGGATGGAGCAGGAAGGAAGTTAAGGGGACAATGTTTCACATTCAGAGACAAGTATTTCCTATAACAAGGAAATGGGATTGGACAGAATTTTCTGTATTTTAAGCTTTGTATGCCTCTCTTAATAAAAACTAAGCTCATTTTCTTCTCCTGCCACAGTGCACCGTGCCTCAGATAAAATCCTTTTTATGAAGAACATGCACACACAGTATAATCTGACATYATTCCAGTGCTACAGGGAACATCTTGAACATAATTGCACCACATGGAAGTTGACTTGCTATGAGAAAAACACACAAAAAAGCATTCAAAACAAATCTGTAAACACATTTATGCTCCCAATAGCCATGATAAATCCAATYAAACAGCCAGGATTTGTGTTATAAACTGTCACTAAAGGAGTTAATGCAGTTTCTGYGGCAGGGAATGCACCATCTCTAGGCAAGAAATCACAGTTCCAAACTGCCTGAGGTTCAGGATTTTGTAGTCAAGCCTCCCTTGAGAGGACTGACAGCCAAACCAAGACTATTCAGGCCCAGCTCACTCATATCCCATCCATGGTGTCATTGCACTGCCTGACCCTCACTCTGCCTAGTCCTGGCATTGCCTTCTCCCTGTGCCATTTAGGGTCTTCAGGATCTCTGCTTGCCTCTMATAAAATCCTGCAGATCCATGTGCAATGCCCTACACGATACCAGTGGGATGCTCTGCTCCCAATCCACTGAAAACATACAGCTGAAAACCACAGGGGAGGAATTCTTTCAGCCTCAAACTGAAGCATTCCTCTCCTGCAAATGCCAGTAACAGACAAAGGAGGAATGCTGCCTTTGGACTGGATGTTTTGCAGCATCAGGGAACAAGAGACCCTCACTGAAGAACATCTGCTTCTGAGGAACATCAAATAACCCACAGCAAGGTTTCCACTGGCTACCTGTTAGCCATGCTGGAAATAGGAATCCTAATAAATCAGTAACAGCACAGCATCTGAAATACCATAGCTTTGTATCAAAAGCATTTAAATCTCATCAGCATTTCTCATGAGGGAGAAATCCACTTGTGAGTGCTCATAAGAACAAGAGCAGCAGTAGCAGCAGCTGATCCAGTTCCCCACTGAAAGCTGGTCCCAGCTGCAGCACAACAGTGGAAACCCAGAGTAGGGTGAAACATCTCAGCACTCGGCCCCATTGCTGGGCATCCTAACCACACAGTAGCCACATAGGTCAGACTTCAAAGCTCAGCAGCTAATTATCCTCCAAATGAAGGGAGCCAATGTACCCAAATGTGTTCCACCCTTCACTGGCAGGGGCTGAGGAACACTTCAGCCATCGCTACCCTGTGCTCTCCCTGTTCCTATTTCCCCAGTTTTTAAGGTCCATGCACACAATGGRTAATCCCTCCACAACTTTCCCATTTTGTTCTTCAGAGGTTAGAAGACTCGCTTTTCAGGGGAAGTAGCAATGATCTCTCTCAGGGCTGTGGTGCTATGACTCACAGCAAAAGAAACTAATATAGCACCTGGCTTGGATGCACAGCTTGGAAGCAAAACCAAAAACAGGGAACACTGGCCAACCGCGTTGAGCACTGCAGGTTTTTGTCACTTGGAGGTGTTGGAAAGTTTCTTCATTCTCAGCAAGTGACAGCATTCTGTCTTTAACATTCTTCTAAAGGCATCCTGTGGCCACTCAAGATCAGCTTGGAGAACATGTTTTGGGCTGGAAGATGCTGTTGCTGACGGCAGGCAGGTGGATGGGAAGGGCAGGAGCAGAGCTGTGCCACAGTCAGTGGCCTCCTGCCTGTGGAGCAGGAGATTTCTCCCCTGGCCTGATGCCAGCAGGGGAGAACTGCTGTTCCCCTCTGTCTTTGAACACAACCATGAATATTTTTATCCCTCCATGTGGATACCCGGAAAAGCCAGCATCTTAACTTCTTATGACAATAGAGATTTAGATAAAAACAAATTAAGAAACAGACAAATGTTAGCTGTGTGATTCCAGCCTGTTGATTTTTTTTGGCCATACAAGCTGCTGAAGCCACACCTGCCTGGCTCAGACATCATCTGAATATTTGCAGAGCTTCTGGACATCTTGAGCAATAATGATGAGGCTCAAGGGTATTTATGAGTATTTCCAGGTGTGTCTAAGCTGTTTCTGACCTCCTCAGACTGCAGCCTGTTTGGTTTATGGAGCTGGCAGGATCCCCTGGTGTGTTTGGTATTAGTAACTACTTTGAAGCAGGGAACGGTGTTTGCAAGCTCACCAGTTCTGTGGCRTGTCTCCACATCAGGGAAGCTTGCTCAGAGCTGGGAAGTGCAAAGGTCCAAGTCAGCTGGCAAATAACACCTGCCTAGGGATGCTTTCCTTTGGAAATACAGTTCTGGGAACTGACTTGAGGTTTAGAGATGCAGAAGTAAAGCTCAGGTTTCCAGACCATGCTGGTTTTAAAATTAACAGATTTAAAAAGGTGGGGTTTTTTTACAGGAATGAAAGAAAATATCCAAGCCAGAAGCTCAGTCTCCAATTAACTTTAACCTTTTGACATAAAAATGGRCAGGCAGACATACAAAATATCCCTTTGCATTCATATACATGTTATAGAACCGGAAAGACCAGAGGAATGCCATGCAGTTAAAAAAGCTGACAATGCATGGAAAAAGAGCTTTGACTTTCAACCTGGAGTCACTCTTGTGCCTCCATCTCCTGTCCATTTTCAGCATTATATGTGTACACAGTCCAGCACCCTCATCCTGAACCCGGCTCCTCCAGGCACATGTACCTCAGAGGAGCCCAGTGCTTTTGCCACCATTTTTAGCAGATTTATAACAACACTGAATGTGGCTCCACATCTGGAGGAAATTAGAGCATGACACCAGGCTGGCCATGAGTGGATGGCAGGAGCCACAGGGAGCAGCCCAGCATCAGCCCTCACTCTCAGAAGGTGGTCTGAGCCCACGAATCACTTTGATAAAGGGAGCAGTAGGTAAATCAGGCTGTACCCTGCTCAGCACACATGTCCTTCCCCAGTCTCAAACCACCAAGAGGTTACAGCTCTCACCAATGCCTTGCCCTGCTAATGGCACAAACGGGGCTCTCCTGCTCTCTCACACTGTGGAGACGTGCCCTGCAGTCAGGAGAAGCAGGATTTTCACACAGGCTCGTCACCAGAGGAATCCTACTGACTCCAAGAGAACCAGAGCAGCAGGGCACAGAGAGAGAGGTGCAAAGCTGTAAAGCCCCTGGACAAGCCCTGTTGCAAGGGCATTTGGCAAGAACCTTTGTTGCATTTGGCACCAGATCAGAAAACTAAACCCTGCCAGTGCTTTGAAGGGAATGCCTCTCTCCTCACCCTGCCACACTATTTCTTTAGTTATCCTTCCTTATCCTGTCAGAATAGATGCCAGAGCTGGTAACACCCACTTTGTGAAGAGGATGAAGCAGGGAAAGGCACTTTTTTTTCTTCTTTGACTTTCTTGAAGATTCTCTGGCCACTGTCAGCGGCAGGAGCCCAGGCTTGTTCAACCTTTCCTCTGAGTCAGCACAGCAAGTCTTTACCTTCACTTGCTGGCTGTCATGAAAGGAAACAAAAAAACACTTATACTGTGCTGCAGTCACCATCACGAAAATCCTATTGTCAGCAAGAGCTAATGTGGATGTCAGGAAAGGCTGAAATGACTCCATCAGAGAATATTTGTGAAGATCTATTTGGGGCACATCCTGCGTTCCTCAAGTACCTGCAGGAGTGGCTGTGACTAGCAGGGGCAAAATGACTGTACATCCTATCCTGGCTCTTCCTGCCTCAATGTCCATGCACGCACCAAGTAYTGCTTGCCTGATGGTATTTTACAAAAAGATAGCCCTCTAAGGAAATTGCCTTGTTTTRGAGAAAGACAATGGAAAACTGCCTGTGAGTAATGTACAGTGTAAATCTATTAATCAGGCAAAGCCACTGGCATATCTCCTCCTAATCATTCCATAGCACTTCTTATTCTCTCCCATGTTTATATTTAAATAGRACAAACACAGCAGTTGAAAAATTCTGAGTCAGTGAGGAAAAAGAAAAGTAATTAAGCAGCCTGTTCAGAAGTGCACAGAAGATGTAYAATGACAGAGGGCTCTGTCTGAAAGCAGGAAAGGGAGGAATTTAAAAGGGYGAGGCATGCTGGGAAGGGAGGGGATGCATGCCAAGCTGGGTAACAGGAATTGTGCTCCAGTGGATTCCAGGTGGGGGCAGGTGTACAGTGCTGCATCCATAAGAACAGCAAACTGTGGAAAGAAACCATCAACAATCCACACCAGACAGGCTCTGATAGAGCAAGGAGGTATTTTGGGTGGTTTGAAAGTGCCTGGTCATGGGGCTGGCAGTGGCCACCTGGCTGGGCTGGATCTTGCAGAGCATACACAAAGGAGAAAATAGGAAGCAGCAAGACACTCAAAAACTCAACRGGTCAAACAGCAGTGGAGAGCCACAGGTTGCCTTTGTGTTGTACCCAAGAGCTGGAAAACATCATCAGAATCTTCTTAATACAAAATAACATCCTTTGATCTAAAAGAGCTTGACAGGCTCTTTTGACAATACAGAGATTAATCCTGAAGGTGGCTGAGCACACTGGGGCTGAAATTTAATTTCAAGAAACATTGGAAAGAGAATAATTCTTTTCATTTGTTTAAMACTGCTAGCAATTCATTCTTCCAAGAGTGCTTCATCAAATCCCAGGACAATTACCAAAGGCTACTGTATAAATGTGGAAACAAGAAACAGCAGTCTGTATAAAGATAAATCTGAAGGCACAAGACAGACAGACATGCACTTATCCATAAATAAAACACTGCTCCCCTGGCCTCCTTACAAAACCAYACCACCTTCTGTAGTTTCTCATAGCAAACACAGGGGGCTGACTTCTTCTGTTAGTTCTCCTTCCTTCCCAGGCCCTAAAGGTTTGTTTTTAAATGAAATACAGAATGATGTTTTGAAGTTCATGTCAGTGGGCAAGCCCTCTTTCTCCCCAGGAGGGATGGAGAGACAAAACTGGTCCTACCAGGTGCTGACCTGCCTGTCTGTGTGTGGTGAGGGCTGTTCAGCTGCAGTGAAGCCCTGGGTATGTGTCAGATTGTCAGCCAGGATGCCAACATCAGGTGTAGGATCACCAAGCTACTCACCACAAGCCCTCTGGAATCAAAAGGAAACAACAGATTTAGGRAGCTGCTAAGCCAAGCCACACATCAAACAGTGGCCCAAGAGCCAAAAGTGCTCATTTCTGAGTCAGCACAAATAGCTGCATGATCTTTTCTGGCATCTCCATCCACCAGCCTGATGTGAGTTTATCCCTCATGTTACTTTCCAGAGGGAATGTCCTTCCCTACCACACTGGCATGGACACAGGCTCACTCACAGCAACACTACCACCCACCCATCCCATTTCCAGCAAAGCCTCCCACAGGAGAACATATTCTATTCTGGGGTTTTATTGCCCATAAATGACCAGCCGTAAGTGTGTTTTCTCCTGGGACCTTTTCCCACGGATAAATCCATGTAAGGTATTAGTGCCTGCACAGCACAGCTGCTCTTAGGCTGCATCAATGCTCCTTTGCAGAGGTAACAAGATCCCTTTTGCTTGTAAGGACAGGTACAGAGGCTCTTCAAGAATAAAGCCTATAACATATTAATCAGAGCAAATATAACATAATAAATAAGAGCTCGTGGTCAAAAAACCCCAARTGTTTCTCTATTGCAGATTCCAAAGTAAAGAAAGAATCCAGTCAGATTTGTATCACTGWTTCTTTGCTCTATAAATAGCTGCAACTGCCATTCTAAAAATAATCCAGATAAATATTTAAGGCCCACTGCTACTTAACTTACTGTTGTGCTTACATACTGCTTACTGTTGTGTAAATCAGGAAAAATATCAATGAGATCCATCAATTTACAACACGATGCTCTGCTGAAGTCAGGGAAGGGCTGTGTTTCCAGCAGTTACAGACAAGTCCTCCTGCAACACTTCACCATCAGCTTTTCTTCCTCATGACCTGGAGATCCCTTTGACAGCCATGGGAAAACGAGCACACAGGAAAATGCCAAGAAAGCTGCTACAGTAATTTTGCTTAATCTGTCAGATGGATAAATAATTTTTTTAAGGGTAACTCTGTCCTGTCTAATTTTTAAGCTTAGCCAGAACAAGGACTGCAAAAATTACCTGCTCTCTAGAGCAGTTTAGGAGAAAGTATTCTACTGGAATTTTTCTATCTAGCTCGGTATCTATACTTGTCAAATAAAACAGTGATTACCATAAAAGTACTGTAAAAATAAGCAGCTATACTTTCTTTTGTAGATAATTTGTCTTCCCCYAAAATAACTCAGTATTTTGCCCATAAAATACTTCAGCCTAATGCACTTCTGGAAAAAACAGTTGGAGATGAACAAAATAGTCTCAAATGGCTCTTCTGTCTAATTTTATCTCAAAGACACCATTTCACATCAAATAAAAAGACAACATAAATGTACCTTATAATAAATCGCGTTATTTGTGAGCGCACTTACAGAACACAAATTATTTGTATTTCTGGAATAAACATTCAACAGAATCCACCAAAACATGTGAAACTATTTAAAGGAAAATACAGCAGTTCTCCAGCCTGAATAAACCAAGGGGAAAAACCAAACCAAACCAACAAAACCAWAACCAACCCAAACTGTGCTWGAGCACGCACAGGTATTGTGTTATTCTGATTACATGGGAAAAACTAAAGACTAAAATGCTGCCTGTTTTGCTRTTTTTCCTTGCTTTTCCAGGAAACCAAATATTAAGTACCTGGCTTACAAACCTCCAGCAGTTGATCCCACTTCCTCTGACGTTCACCTCCTACGAATGACACAATCCAACACCCACATACCAGCTCTAAGAAATCAAGAATGCTGTTGCTTCAACAAACCCCCATGCACTTGGGGCCAGCCAAAGAAAGATAAAACACCCTGGAACTCTGCAAACAAATTATRCCCATTGCTGACGTAAGGAGGGGGAAGGGAGGGCAAAGGGGAAAAAAGAGAAAAATTAAATAAACCACAGGAAGCATCCTTAGTCATCCAGAGCATGTGCTGAGATTTTAACAGCACACCTGGAAACTGAAAGCCTCTATTAGCTCTAGCTACAAGTTAGGCTGGCTGCCAGTGGGCAGTGAGCATCACCTTGTGGGGTGGAAATAGGACTCCAGTGCCTTCTCCTCAGCCTGGCTGTGCAGGTGCTGCAGGAGAGAAGGGCTGCCTCCAACAACACGAGAGCCCACGGCAGGCAGGGCTGGAGGAGCACAGAGGAGCTCCCTCCCTACCAGTGCCTTACACAGCTGTAGCTGCTGCACAGGCCAAATAAATCAGTGAGCACCTGGGGTCCTGGTGGAAAAACAAGGATTCAGCAGCACCGAGAGGATTTGTATCCCATCTAAGACTGCAGTCAGATGAGGGCATTGTGGATGATGCTGAGTGTTTCAGGGATGGCACAACCCAGGGCTTCAAAAGCCTGAGAGGAAAACACATGTTATGGACATGGCTGTTCCCCTGCCTTCTTCCCAGTCACTAAAGTGACAATTCATCATGCTTGGAGCTGGAGAGCTCTGGGTGTTGCATCCCAGGATTGTCACCTACTGCGGGTACCACCAGCACTGCTGCCTGCCACAGCCACGTCTTCCCTTGAGTGCTCCCAGCCAAAAGCTGTTCTCATTCAACTCTCCACAGCTGACAAGACCTGGGAAGGGCAGAGTTGACCTGCACCTATAAGTGACCTCCCCCCTCTCCCCCTATTTTGAATCACTTTTGTGAGCAAACAGGTAAAATACTGCCTTTAATTTCAGAACCCAAGCTTTGGCCTGAGCACCACCACCATTTAGGGAATCAGACAAACAAACAAGAAGCAAGGAAAATGCTGYGTAATTACTCAGAGGCACCCTGAAAGGAGGGCTGTTACAAAAAACAATCTCTTATTGAGGATTTCTTACAGTGGTAGAACACTGCCTAATAGCTGCTATATACTGCTTGAGCGAGTGTATTCTCCTCGGAAATCAAGCAAAGGTTTCTAATAGTTTTTGACRGAGTGTGGTCCCCTAAAGCTACATCTTCCATCTGATTCATGCTGACTAACTGTAACCCTATGACAGTTATTGAAAATTAATTAGCGGTGAAGTGCTAAGAGCTCTAAAAATGAAAATACAAGCGAGAACTGAATGCAGAGTGTCTCCCTTTCCATGAAAAAAACATTCTGTCAAGAAGGTTAACATAACAAGTTGAAAATGTGAGAGGGATTCCTCTAATAACTTGGCCATGATGGTCGCTTGTTGTGTAGACACACAGTAACATACTCCTAAGGATTTATCAGGGAACCAGGGAACAAACCCCAGCACTTCTTTCTTCATTAAATTTTCTAGAGGAAGTGCCTGGAAAGTTACATAGAGACAACACCCAAGTTAYATAAAGACAAAGATATAAATCAATTGCTGCTTCCTTTGGGGACTCAAGTTTGTCAGATGTTGCACATGCAACTATTTTTGCCCTTATCCTTCACTTCCTCAGTGTTTGCAAGGAAAAATCCACAGTTAGATGTGAGCCCAGCCAGCACCAAGCGGGCGTAGGAGGTGAGGCGAGGAGAGCCACAGCCCTGCACCACCCACTCGCTGCAGATGTAAGCGCCGAGACAAGGTGCGAGGCAGTGGGCAGTGCTCTTCAGGTGTTAAAAAAGCCCATCCTGGCACCCCCAGCAGTTGGATACAGCCCTAAACAATCAAACATCAAACAAAAAGCAACCTTCACGCAGAGAAGTGGCATTGTTTTAAGAGCAAGGAAGGGAAAGCGTTGAAGCAAAGCAAGTAGGTTGGAAAAGCCAGATGTAGGGCTCAGTATAAAAATAGACAACAGTGATGCCAGAATGCCTTGGCAAAAATGGGTATATTGATTTTCATAGAATAGGGAGAAAAKCTCCAGCCCTTTCCACCCCTGACTGCTGTGACTCACAAGTGATCTAAAATGACTGCAATGAGCAAGCGGGAACTGAGCTGAGTTGGACCTCGCTCATGTCTTCACAGGGCTGACAGGGGAGCGGTGTCCTCCTGCTCCAGGCTCTCCTTGYGGCTGCCCAGAAATACAGGATAGCTGTGGATGTTCGCCTCCACCAAAGCATCCCACACCACTGGGTTCAGGGAGGAGCTCCGGGTGGCCAGCGGCTCTGATCGATGTGTGACTCAGTGTCGGGCTCAGCCACCACTGGGTGCCGGCACCCTGGGGATGTGCCCAGGCACACTGGGTACTCAGCCCTTTCCTCGGGCTGGGAGCTGGGTGTGTAAAGAGCACCATGTCCACTGTCTCCCGTTCAGCTGCCTGACTGCCTTTTTTGAGGTCTGCAAGTGTCACAAGGTGCYCACATTTGGTTTGGAATCCCTTGACACCTTTACTGCGCAGCCAACGGGAGCTCCCGCTGGGACGGGATCACAATCCAAGGACACGCTTTGGCCGAGCTGTTACGTTCGATGGTTCTCCTTCTCCTTTCCAAGCGCACCCTCCCGAGCCCACGGAAGGCGTACAGCAGCCGCGGGCGGGATGTCACACCCGGGATGGGTTCCGCCGCTCCCGCACAAGCGCCGGGATGCCGCGGGTGGGGCCGGGGGGAGCGGGCAGCGGGGCCCGCGGGGCCGCACCGCCCCTTCCCCGCCCTTCGCCGGCCGCGAGGGGCGAGGCTGGAGCCGGCG